GCGACCGATTTGCGACAAAACATATCGGTCGTAAAAAAATCAGTCGCAATTCAGTCTCAAATCGGTCTCAGAACTTTGCCGCATTTTTTACGCGCGAAATTTTGCGACCGATAAAACGTAGTCGCAAATCGGTCTTAGTAGCACATCGGTCGCAAAATCGGTCGCAAATCCATAGTACACAGGTCGCAAATCATTAACCATTCTCGCGGGAATTTTCAGCGCCAAAATTTGCGAAGCGACCGATGTACTAGAAGTCGCAAATCGGTCGCAAAATTGCGACCCTTATATGTCGGTCGCAAAAATCGGTCGCAATTGAGCGTTTTTTTTGTAGTGTGTTTAAACTAGCCTCTTTCAACTATTAATTGATTGAGAAATGGTTTCTAAATTATAGTCAAACTAAATACAAAATACACAGCGAATGATTTCCAGTAACACTTTAGTCATTTCCTGATGATTTCCTTTAATACTTTGGCCTCTTTTTTTTTTGAATAGAATGATCAAAGTGTTAATAAAACTATAATTTAGAGACTTCATTGTTAGCTTTCATAAATTGAGATCCTCGTGTATTAATTTGACTATAATTTAGAGACTTCATTCTTTCCATCCTTCTTTATCGTTTTTCTTTATTTTATTTAGTTTTCTTTCTAATAATTTTCAAACCTATAATAATTTGGAATAAAATTTGGATTTAGTCTCTCAGATCTGTGGATCTTGAGTGTTTTTTACTACTCTCTTAGTGGAGTTATTAATTTATTTCCTTTCATGGGATTATTCCTCATCGTTGAGGAGTTTTTATGTGGATCTTTTATTTCTCAGATAATTCGAAAGACAAAATGGATTGTTGGTTGCTTGTGGTTGAAGATTTCAGATCTTCAAGTTCGGGTAAGTTTCTTTTACCAATAGAGTCTGGTAGTGCGGCATGTTTCTCGTTAAAGTTTGGTATATTAAACTCTTCTACGAACGTTAGTTATAACAAATTTTCAAAAAAATAATATTCGGGACAATATTATGGAATGTTTCTTTTGTTGTCATATTTAAGAATGGATCAGTTTTTATCTGTAAGATTAACCTCTTCTGCCAAGATAGAAAACATCTCCATATAGAATATTTCAATTTTCTATATTTGTATTTCTTATTCCAATCGAAATATTATGATGTACTCAATTTATATTCATTATTAATGAATTATTAACTTTAAAAAAAAAAGTTACGTTTGATGAGTACAAATAAACTAAATAGGATTGTCTCTTTTAATTTTAGTTTTATTATCAAAAGATTACAAATAATTCTTTTGATTTGTTAGAAGATCATCTAACCTTCCACTCATTATGATAGTAAATTTTATTTCTGATCTAATTAATTATTTTTAATACTTAATAATATTATAAATGAATTACATTTTAAAAAAATAATAATTACGAATCAAATGCACTTTTGTTGTAATACCTTGGAGTGGATTTAGGGTAAGGGGCAGTGAAGAGACATGCTTCCTTTTTTACACCTTAGTTCAAAGTATTTTAAATTCTAGTTCATAGTTTTTTGCACCTTAGTTTATAGTATTAATTTTGAATTCACCCCCTTTAATTAAATTTTTACTTTTTTTCCCCACTAAATTCTTATTTTTATATTATTTCCCCACTAAGCAAAGCTTGAAACTTTCTGAAACCACAAATTTAGGCTTTTTATGAGGTTCACAAATATGAGATATTCTCTTTTTAAAATCATATCTTTGACCTTTTTCTTTCCCTTCCCTTTTATGTTTCTTTTTCTTTCCCAATTCTAATTTTATTCTACTCTAATTTAATAAATTTGTTGTAATTGTACTCTATTACCAAAACTAAATAAAATAAAATACTAATATTATAGATATAACATAAAGCAAAATATTGACAATGTCTTGACAATTGATATGTTTCTACAAAAGCTTCTTCAAATCAAAGATCATATCCTCCTTTTTCTCTAACTTTTTTATTAAAGAAAAAAGATTTTTCCCTTTCAAAAAAAAAAAAAAAGTATTTTCTGAATATATCTTGTTCTTTCAAGATTACAAGTCTAGGTAGTTGACATAATTAATGAATTAAGCTTCTTCTTTTTGTTTGTTTGGTCTTCAAAGCAAAGGAAAGAAACATAAATTTTAGGGAGAGAAGTGTTGGATTGCAAAGAATGAAATTAATTGATATTATGTAAATAATGAAAAACCTTTAAGAATTAGATTCTACCAGTTCGATTTTAGAAAAATGCACTCGGTAAAAGGTAAAAATCTTTTAAACTCTATGACTTAAAAAGGATTAATATCTCTTGGTTCCATTCCACCAGAAGACAAAAAAAAAAAAAAAAAAAAAAAAAAAAAAAAAAGAAATATTATCATTTTTTTTATTCAATTTTGACCACAGAATTTTTTTTTTTTTTTTAAGAACCATAGATTATAATAGATTTTTTTTTTGATAAAAAATTTATGTTATTTAATACCAGTTTGTATTATTACTATATTATTTTTTTTTTCAAAAAACATATTACTAATTATTCTATAAAAATAACCCATGTGCATCTAACAAAAACAAAACGAACGCATACGTTATATATTATATATATATGAAATGAAGGCAGCTTTATTTAATTTGGAACATCATGTGGGTTAAGTACTTATACTGATAATATTGTTCCCTGGTGCACGTGGTATTTGGAACAACAAAACCTTTATGACATCATCATATATCTTTTTTTTTTTTTTCTTACTTTTAATTCCATTACTGTCTTCTGTCTTCTTTAAGCACGTTTTCGTTTTCAATCTTCAACCTTTTCATATTTATTTTGCTTTTTCACTTCATCTATGTTCCATTTTTTATTTTTTTATATCTCCTACCAAGAACAAGATTTCTTCTTCTTCTTCTTTTTTATATTTATATTTAAATTTCTTAACCCCTACGCAATTGACTTATAAATTATAATCTAGAATGCTAGGAAATATTTTATTTAACTTGATGTAGACATATAATATTATAAACATTTTGAATTCTTAATTATAAAATTAGGTAGATTAAACATTAAGTTTAAAAAATTACGCAATTGGAATCGGTTGATTTTGAAATCGACACAAAACATCATATTCATAGGAGTAGGAGAAAAGAGCCTATGGTAGCAATAAGAAAAGACTAATAATATTTTAAATGATTGAAAATTTGTAAAAAGCCAAAAAAAAAAAAAAAAAAAAAAAAAAAAAAAAAAAAAGAGTTTTTAAAAAAATATAAACCGCAAAGGAAATTGCCTCTGTATTTTGAAAATAAAACTTTTGGGGTTGCAAAAAATTGGACCGTAAAAAAAAAAAAAAAAAAAAAAAAAGAGTTTTTAAAATATAAACCGCAAAGGAAATGCTCTGTATTTGGAAAATAAACTTTTGGGGTTGCAAAAATTGACCCGTTGTATGATTTAAGAACAAAACAAAGAAAGCGTCACAGCAGAATCTTTTTCAATCTGGGGGTTTAGCATAAACAAGAAACGTTCGAAACTTGGAATGTGTGGTTGATTGAATTCAAATGGGTTTCTTTTTTTATTTTTATTCTTATTCTTATTCGTTGAAAAGTCTAATATATCGAAATAATATAATGAACTATATATAATAAGGATAATCTTTCATATACAAAAATTTTTATAATTGAAAAGACTCGAATTTAAGATCTTTCACTCATCTCACCGATGAAAACACCAATCATACCAGACCTTAGGTTTCATAATTAATCTGTTTCATAATTTTTTTAAACAACATGTAACAAAAAAAATATATTAATCTGTTTCATAATTAAATTAGGTTTAATTTTGTTCAAAATTTAATTATTCAAGAATATTGTTAAAATCAAAAGTTCATAATATAATTAAAAACAAAACTAAAATATAGAAGATCATTATTCTAAGTTTGACAAACCAAGAGATCATCTTAGCCATAAAATTATGAATTTTCAAGAAAAATATTATTGTATATAGATGAGTTCAGAGGACAAATATCATATCATATCCAATTCATAATGCTCTTTGAAAGTTTAGATAGCTATTAATATTCTTAATTAGCTTATCTTGTTAATTACTAGTAGATAAAAAATATTTTATGTACACCTCAGAAATCCACACACAGGTAAATAGCAGCCAAAGCAAACCCAAACCCTTTTCTAGTTTCTACACAAAATGGTCAAAATCATACAAATTATGGAGGGCAGAAACAGACAAAGCACTCACAAGAAGACTGCTGCCTTTGTTTTTTGTGCCACTTACTATGTACTACTGCAGAGTACAGAGACTATAGTATTTGACAAATCCATTGACAGCCCATTTCTTAACCTTTTTATTATTATTATTTTTCGACATTAAATAACATTTCATTTAAGTATGAAATAAGTTGCATTTCTTGAAATTAAATACAAAAAGTCTTAGACCTGAATTTTTCTTTTTTTTTTTTATTCTTTGAAAGGTTGATGGATGATTCGAATCATTGAAAGGTTGATGGATGATTCGAAATGTATTGTATGGTCCTTTTCGAACCCACTAAATTAATAAAATCGCATGTAATCAAGAGGATCACAATTCAAAACCTATCATACTCCTGACATGATAAACAAACTCATCCAGATTCTCACCTCAATTCTAAAATCATATAAAAACATAGTATTTAATAATATAAACAAATTAAATCTAAATACAATAAGTAATTGATTATTTATCTTATAATACAAAAAAAAAAAAATCCCCATTTTTCAAGTGGTTGTATAAAAAAATTATAAGTAATTATATACAAATTAAATTAAATCCAATGACTAGTATAGTCTAGGCAATATTGAAGTTTTTGCTTATCTCACACTTAAATTAGATAGTCAACTAATTGAACCTATGTATATATATTCTTTATTGGCGAAATTGCCCCATGATTAGTTGATTCTTTTGATATTTTTATGAGGAAATTATGGTCGAAAAGGAGAATTAGTGAAATTAATTGCAAAGAGCATTCACACTAGTTTGAAACAGCAAAAGTGAAATAGCATTACATAATTGATAACAATAGAAAGAAAACTACAAACAACATCATCAACACAGCCACTGAACCATAAAATAATACTAATATTATAACTTAAGCAAACAAGCAAACCCCATTTACAGACCAATTATCACATTTTTCCCCTTAATACTTGTACTAATCTCTTTATTCCAAATTATTTTTCTTAAACCTAAAACAGAACAAGAACATCTATTCTCTCCCTTTTCCTCAATCTCTTGATGGAGATGAGTCTTTTAATTGCTCTTTTAGTATTGAAAAATATCAGCAGAGGCCATTATAGGCTGATTTAAGTAAGACATGTTCAATGGATTCAAGAAACTATCAGCTGCTGGTTCCTCTGCAAGAAAACCATTGTTTGCACTTAAGAAAGCAATTATTTCATTCAAAGATTGCAATCTGTGGCTAAGCTCACCAACCTGAGCTCTTAGAATGGAATTATCAGCTTCTATATTCAAGAAATGCTGTGTAGTGATATTAATGCTTGTTAAAAGCTGATGACTTTCTTTCCTTAGCTGAGCCACTTGAGCAATTAAATCATCCAAATGCTTCTGTTTTCTCATTCTTGATCTCCTGGCCGATTCGCGATTAGATATCATTCTTTTCCTCTTCCTTTGATCCATCAATGCCCGCAAATCTTCTTCTGAACCTGAATTTTGCATCAAAGTTGACCCTGAAGAGGTTGTTGTTCCACTGGAGGAAGCCATGAGACCCCAAGAAAATCTGAACTGCACAAATTATTATTCTTTCCTTGTTTTCCCCTCAAGAGTTGATTAAAAATATAAGGGATGCAGCAGAATACCTCTTAAAAGTTACAGATCAAATTGCCACAATCCAACAACTTGAGCTTTCAAGGGCGCAATTGTTAGATCAAGAGAAAAGAGAGTTTATAGCAGGACACAGGACCCAAAACAGAAAGAAAAATAGCAAAAACACAGAATAATTAATTAATGGAGATAATACTAGTACTCAATATTAATAATATAAGGTTTTATAGGGTAAATATGTGATTACTTTGAGCTAAAATCATGAAACATAATATAACCAGTAGAGGAATACAACTGAGAAGGATTGAACAAGATGGGTCCTGCGCCTGAAAGTAGAATTTATCATATAACCAGAAAGAAAGATTTCACTGAGAATTGGAGACATGAATCTCAAACATCAAGAACAAAATATTTAGCATCAAGATTAACTTTAAAAACCCACAAAGAAAAAATAGATGCAAAAAATCTTAGATTTATGCTTGAAACAGTTTCAAGAACATAAATCTAACAGAGAAATCAAGAAAATGCAAATTAATCAAGATCAAGAAAGAAGAGGAAATGAGTTCTTGATTTTGTAACAATTCAAGAACTTGAACTCCAAATTCAGTAATCAAGATTCAAGAAAAGGAAATGCAAGATTTGTGTGGCTTCAGTTCAAAGCTCTAGCTTTGAGAAAATATCTTGGAGAAAAAAGATAGACCAAAATTTTACAAAGGAGGATGGAGTAAGCGAGAAGGGGAATTTGAACATAGAGAGAGAGGGATTTATAAGGGGAAAAAAGAAGAACAAGTTGATGGTAAATTTTATTTTTTAAAAAAATCTTAAAACTGAGAAAATAATAAAGTCAGGAAAAAATGGAATCTCATCTGAGAAAAAGTTCTTGGAAAAAGCTGAAAAGGACATGTGAGATGTGGGGGGAAGGGAAGAGGACTCCACGACTGTCCGGATACAGCTGGGAGCCAACATTTTCACGTTACATCACAGTGGTGGTGGCTTTTATTTTTTCTCAGGATTTACCGTAGAGTAATGCTGAAGGTTACCACGGCTGCACACCTACTTGTTATGGCAACAAATTATCAAACTTTTTTTTTTGGGGATACATTTACCTAAATCGTTTAGGTTCTATATATATATTTTTTAATAATAAGGAGGTTTAATCCTCTTAAACAGTAAATCAGATTTTTTTGCTCTCTCAGTAAAATACGTTTTTCGGATATTGAATCGCTAATCAACTTAACCAACAACTTGTTGGTGGTGTTAGTTTCTATTTGTTTCTACACTATTTCTTAGTTTTTTCTATAAAATATTTACCAACACCTGTGTATAAGTTTACTTATATTTATACACTAAATTAATTATAAATCGTGTTTTAATTTAAATGATAATATTTTTGACAAGAAAAAAAAAATAAAAAACTAATATTTTTTTAACTGACTTAGTGTATAGAATCACTCTGTAGACAATAAATTTCTTTTTTTTTTTTTTTTTTTTGTGTTTTAATTTAATGGATTAATATTTTTGACAAGAAAAAAAAAAAATAAAAAACTAATATTTTTTTAACTGACTTAGTGTATAAGAATTCACTCTGTAGGACAATAAATTTCTTTTTTTTTTTTTTTTTTTTGGATTAATGGGGCTACATAAAAGGGTGATTCTTTGGAACCTTTTATTGTTTTTTTTAATTTATGGAGAGGTTTTATGAAGACATCTCGCGCCGAATGGAATATACTGCGAACTACACAGGAAGTAGGCCCGGTAAAGTTCCTCCTCTTGGACTCACGCGGAAAGCGGGATTAACTAGGATATAAAAGGAATCCCAATTAACAAGGCATTACTATATAATTGGAAAGGATCATCCAGACATTAATGTCAATATGGACCCAACTATGAAACTAAATCCTAAATCATTTAAAAAATAAAACACCCAAAATTCTGCAACTTTCGCCGTAATTTTTAAAATTTTTTGTAGGAAAAGGGAAGTAGGGGATAAATCAATAATAATGCTATAAATATATATTATATATATATATATATAATTAGAAACTAGAAGGAGAATATTGGAATTGTAAAAAAAAGACATGGATAAATTTTTTAATGACAATTGTCCTTTGATTTTATTAGCTGAAAATAAAATAAAAAATTATTATTTAAAAATTTTAATTTAATTTGTTAGCTTAATTTTTTGAAAATTTTATTGGAATTATTATATTCTTTAATAGCACTATTTTTCTTGTTTGATATTGATCCATTACCATATAAAGAACTGTGAGAAAAAATAATTTCAAATTAAGACTCTAAATTGCAATCACACCCTAAATTGCAATTAAGACCTGAATTGCAAATAAAAAATATATTTTAAATGGGTTTCACTCTGCCAATCAGATAGGTATAGCCCGGTTAGCCTTTTCATGTTTTGTAAAAAATGTGAAGAGTGAAAAGTCTCGAGATCAAATTTTTTTGACCCACTAAACTTTTGCACAAAAAAAAAAAAAAAAAAAAAACGAAAAAAAAAAAAAAAAAAAAAAAAAAAACGTGGCGCATTCTAACATTGGATTACGTAGAGTGAAAGAGTACCACGATCCAAGTTAATCCTTCATCTTCTTCTCCATATTGCTCTGAATAATGTGAAAGATTTTTTAATTTCGAAGATTTCACAAATCATAATAAGTTTATTATTTTATCAATGCATCTTTGATTTATTTCCCATGAAACTTGAAAGAGTTCTAAAAATATTTTTACTTTTTTCTTGCATATTTCTCTTACTTTTCTTACTTCTTTTATTGTATATATATAAGATTCTGGAGGGAAGAAAACAATGATTACAAGTAGAGAAATTTGATTAATAATTTCAGAGAGAGGCAAGATATGATTGTAAACAAATCGAGTCAGCTAAACTTTAATGAGTTTATGCTCGACTCATTTAAAAATAGCCAATTTCGAGATCAGCCTGGGCCTGGCACAATAACCATAAAATGAACCAGCTTGAGTAAATCAAAATTTATTAAACTAAAATGATATCTTTTTATATAGGCTTAATTAACCTTGACATATTAAGGCAGCTCGTGATCTTGGCTCGATTCGATAAAACTAGCTCATGTAGCAGGTTGCAAGCTAATGACTTGAGCATAAACTCACTTAATAAGCTTATCGAACGAGTTCGAGTGAACTTTTATTGAGTTGATCCTCAAGCAACTCTACTAATGTACAATTAAATGTGAACATTTGGTTCAGTCTAACTAAATACATTTTCATGATAACAAAACATGCATACAACAATATAAAAATTTATCTAATAATGAACTGAATCAAATTAGTTCAAATTTAGGCATAAAGAACTCATTTGGTTAGTTACGTATAAAACTGTTTATATTCGAATGAATATAAACAGATCTATTAAACTTTTTATTTTAATTTCACCCTAATTAGAAAAATCGAGCTTAACTTTAAAAAAAAGATTATTATATTCGAACCAATAATTTCAAATTTAATGTCTTACTAGGAATAACTTGTGATTATTGATACAGATCTATTAAACTAATTAAAGAAAAAAAGTTTTGATTTTGCAAATGCAATTTCATTATAAAATGCATCCAAGATGCTTTGAACAACAAGTTATATAATTGGTTACGTTCAAAATTGATCTTGCATTATTATGTTTTGTCTTTAGTCTAAAAATACGTAGAGAAATTTTTGTATTTTTGTACTCATAGATAGTATAATATTACTTTACTGCAGAAAACGTGAACAAAGTGAAGAATTTATTGAAGTTGCCAAAGGCCAAAATGCATTTGAATATTCTTTTAGAAAATGAATAATCAATCTAAGGATTGTGACTCAGTTGGCAACGCAAACTGAATATGTGGGAAAAACTCTCAGGTGCGATTTTCACAAAATACACCTATAGAGAAGGACAAGAGCTTTAACTGTAACTAAGTCCCGAGCCGGTGATTTTCACCAAAAAAAGAAAACAAATAATCACCATGAGTATTCCTTATTGGAAAATTTTTAAAAGGCATCAATACTTCTCTTGATGATTGAATCTCAAGAAAATTTTTAAAAGGTGAGTTTTGATATTATAAACAATATTGGTTATTTCAACCATAATACAATTATAAATCCCACATTTTATCATTTTTTTTTTCAATTAGGCTCAATTTTGTAATTAGGGTGAAATTAATATAAAAAGAAAAGGTGCTATTCAGAGTGCAAAGGAACAAAGGTCATTTTAGAGTAAGATCGAAACAATTTGAAAAATTCAAGGAATCTGGTTTAGCCTTAATCAATTTATATTTTTTTATCCAGTCTCTTAATAGAAATTAACACATGTTATAAAAATTATTTTACCACTATTAAATTATAAATTTTTAGAAATTAAACTACATTTCCTTTTTAGTTTATAATTAACTTGCAGATGTCAAAAATATCAATATTTTTTTAATAAGAGATTTAATTTCCATATATGAAATAAATTTTAGTTGCATTTGACTATTTTGCAGTTTTACAATAAATTTAATGATATTGAAATTATAGATGTACTTAATAAGGGTTTAATTTCCATATGTGAATTACATTTCGATTACATTTGATTGTTTTTAATTTTTCTATGGTAACTAAATCAATCAATGATAAACTTTATTTTTATGAATATCAATGTATGAATATTTTTTTTATAGGTAGAAATATGTTTTTTAAATATATTTTTAAGTATATTATGTATTTTTGAATATAATTTATTTTTTACCATTTTTTTGAGTATTGAAAAAAGAAATTCAAATCTGAATATATTGTTAAATCGTAAAGTACTCACCACTAAACTATGCCATGATGTGCTATTTTTTTACCACTTTAATCTAAGTTTTTATAAACTTCAACTAAATTGTTTCTTATAAATATTTCAATTTGATAAAAATTCATACTGAATGTTCCAAATGTTATCCTTGAATTCCGTTAGCAGTCATCTCATGCATAGAGATTCTCTTTGACGGACATTTTCACGTTTTCAAAAATACTTCGTGTACTTGGTTAATTTAGAATTCAAGTCACAATCTCCTAAATATATTTTTTAGTTTAAAAATAAAGAAATAGATACAAATTCGTAAAATATATTAATTGAATTTGACTTATTCTTGAAAATCTTTGATGCAATACAATGATTTAGTTTTAATATTTATAAATATAATTCTATAGGGTTATTTTTCATATTTTCATGTTCTACATTTTTTAAATGTTATTTTCTCGTATTTTACTTCTACATTTTTATTTTATTGCTACATAAGCGGTCGTCGGATGACTTAATTTTAATATTTTTTTTATCAACATGTCTAAGAGAAATAGTATATTACTTCCTTTTCTATATAGATTTTATTTGTTTTAAATCAAAGGTCACTTTTCTTTTTCAAAGTTGAATTAATTTCTTAGTCCTCTAATATACATTTATTTAATACTACATATTTTATTATAAATAATTTTTCATCGATTATTTATTGCGAATGACACCTGATATTATAGTGGTATATTAATTATTTTTATTTATTAATCCATGTGGAAATGGAAACAAATTTATATTTTTGAGATGAGGGAGTTCTTGGTTGGTGATATCATGTGTGACCAGAACCACACATCCCCAAATGTTGCCTTATTTTCACCAAAACCTAAAAAGAAGATTTGAGCCTTTTTGATAGCAACTGTTAAGGGTCTATTGATTGGCATATCCTGACACACAATCAAACAAATCTAGGGATATTAGGTGCAGCCCACCTTGTATTTCTTCATATTCGAGTTGTTTAATGTCATATATATATATATATATATTTTCAAAATTAACACAATATCTGCTGAAATAAAGTAATAAAAAAATGAAAATCCAAAAAAACATTTTGATTGATACTTTCTCTGGCTCACGAGAAAGTAGAAGTTATATATATATATAAAAAAATTAACTCT